GCCCCCCCATATTCCTCCGAGCTCCTTATGTGATGGCTGTAAGGAATTCATGACAAAGCAGTGAGGGATTCCACACACAAACAATTCACTTGTATCTACCTCTATGCCCAGAAAGATGCTTAGAACGCATCCCAGGATTTGCCTGTTTAGCATGACCCAAGTCCCACTGCTTTACAACTTGCAATTCATAGCCCCATAGTATCCTTGATTCTGTATTCCACTGCTACAGACTTTTCACTAGGCAGGAAACTTCTCAGTGCCTGTGAGCATCTCTAAATGTACCTACAGGGAAAGCCAGATTAAATAGTCACCTCAAATACACCACTGAAAGCTAGGAAGTAGGAGTCAGGACACACGCAGTCTCAGGACCAAAGTGCTAAGGGAGTAGAGAGAGTTACATGATGACGTCATTGAAGTTGTAAGTTCATATCCTATTCCTGCCATTTTTCCCTACTATAAACCTCAGCTACCATAGCAATGGGAACCAGATAAACAACTAGAGAGAGAAAGAGACAGACAGACAGACGGCATCTGAGATGCTCCAGAACAATGAGGAAGAATTTTAAAAGTACCAGGTTTGCTGGGATTTAAAGCAAACCTGTATTGTTCTTGAGGCAGTGGATGAAAGATTCAATATATGCAACAGACACAAATAGTCAGGGCTTTATTTAAACACTTAATTTGAAGAGCAGCAGCTCCAACAGCACAGCACCGCATCATACTGGGATCAGGATTAGGGATGTTAGATATCGTGTAATTGAATAGTTGTGTAACCGCTTGAAATCTTAGCAGTTACACCATTATTCAATAGCCCCCAGGGGTGAGGCCAGCAGCCAGTGTGCTCCCAGCCCCACTTCCAGGGAGCCCCCTGCAACCCTGTGCTACTGCCCCTCTATCAGAGGCAGCAGGGTGAGGTGGCAGGCAGGAGCAGGTTTGCAAGGGGAGGCAGTTTAAAAACCAGCTCCCTGCACAAAACAGCTGCCTGCCACCCTGTGCTGTTGCCTCTGATACAGAGGCAGCAGCAAGGGGTAACAGAAGCTTCTGTCTGTGGGGAGTCCCAACTCCCTGCAGACAGAGGCTGCTGCCAAAGAGCAGCCTCTGCCTGTGGCAGACCCAGGCTCACCATGGACAGAGGCTGTTCCATGGAATGCAGAGCAGCCTCTGTCCCTGGGGAGCTCGGGCCCACCACAGACAGAGGCTGTTCGCTGCCACCTCTGATAGAGACAACAACACGGGAGGGGGGGAGGAAGAGAGTGGGCAGTTTTGGATTTTAAGCCAGCTCCCCCCAGCACCAGCTCCTGCCAGCCCCCCACTCCAATGCCTCTGTGGGAGGCAGGCGGGTCCACAGGAGCCCATGTGCATGGGGAGCTGGCTTGAAAGCTGGCTCCCTGCGCATATTGACTCTAACCTGCCCCCTTCACCCTCCGCACCGCTGCCTCTTTATCAGCAGCATGGGGATGGAGAACCAGCTTTAAAGCCAGCTCCTCACAGGCACCAGCTCTCACTCCCCTCCTTGCAGCAAGGGGAGGGGAGAATGCATTAATCAATAAGCTCAAGCTTGTCGGTTAATTGTGTAGTCATCTACATGCTGGCATCACTGGTTGAGGCCTCCTCAAAGAAAAAAAGCGTCCCTGACATAATCACCAGTACCCCCCTCTCTGGCACCAACATACTCTGTGGAGGTCTCCTATCCAAGTACTGAAGAGGGTTAGCTTTGCTTATCTCTTTCAATCACAGCTTTCGAGTATATGGCTAAAAGTATTCTCACCACAGAAACAACAGATACCACAACAGAAAGTGAAAGAGGAAAAGAGGAGCTAAAATTTTGTCATTAAATCACTCCAAGTGACTGTAGGGTGTTGAATTCAAAGCCATGAAAATAGATCACATTTCCCTTCCCAGTGTGCAAGCTCAGAATTTGGCCTCCTCCCGAGGAACTTATACAGCAGACTCAGCAGCAACTAGTCTCTGTGAAAATACAAACAGAACTAGAAATGCTGATTTGCACCAAGACACAAATCTTCTGCAAGTCAGAAAAAAGGAGAGATAAAACCAAATAGTTACATAAGATGCTCCTGAAACTGCCAAGTCTCCCTGCTAAAGCTGAAGGAGACTTCTAGTTCTTTCTGCAATCTGTTTCAACCAACGCACCTGGAAAGTTCATCCCAGCTCTCCAAAACAACTCTCAAGTGCTCTGTGCGTGGCAGTGAGTTCACTTTGCTTCTGCCTCCTCCCACTCAAAGTCAGTAGCTCTGCCCTTTCAGACAAAATGGCTTTAGCAGCTTTTTGGCACAAGCCCACATTCCATCATGATGACACTTTACATGCACTTGGAAAAACGTTTACAGTTATTTTCCCTGGAAGCTCATGGCCTGTTCACAGAGCCACAGTGGAATACTGCGCAGAATAGAAGAGTTATTTTACTAAAGAGGAAATGGAAACAGCAGCCAGCAAATTCTTCCAAAACCTCATTCAATCAGCCCTGCAGTAACCTCTGAAAATCCCAATACTTCTGACAAGGATTTACAAGGTTCTGTAATTCCTAGTTAGCTGCCCCAGTGTTCGTTCTCTCTCAGGAGCTAACCTCTCAACCACATTCCATTTTTGAGAAGCCCGGTGTACCCCATAGTACTCTTCCTTTCCCTGGGATCTCTCGCATAAGAATCTATTGTGCTATTCAAAACCTCATATCTCCCTACGGAGTACTTCTCTTTTTGACAAGCATACATACATGTGAACATGACGATTCCCAGATCTAAATGCCAAACGTATACAAGTAGGAAGGATAGCAGAATTAGGAACACAAGATACAACAGTATGGTCTGGCAAATTCAGGATCTCATCTCTAACTGCAACCAATGCTGGATTCTTCAGAGAAAAGTGTGGTAAAACCACTCACAAAAATATCCAATTGAACAACAGACTAACCTTGGGGTAGAGCTGTTTCTTCTTGACCTCACCCAGCAATCAGCATCATCCCAGGAGCACAGGAAAATGTCTTCTAATCAACCTCATCCCCCTAGGGATAGGTGTGATTTCCTCCTGACTCAAGCCAGCAATCAGCCTCACACCCAATGAGTAGAGCAAAAATGTCTTCCTGACCCTGTGCTAGCTCTAAAGTAGGAATATTATAAAGTTTGCCTTTGTAAAATTTATTTTGGAGCATACACAGGCATCATCATGAGCTCCCCACTAGCTTTTCTCCACCAGCAAACACGTTACACATGTTAAAAAAAACTACTGGGGCTTTGTCTATACTAGATGTTGAACACATTAGCTGGTAATAATTAAGAACATAAGACTCTAGATGACATCCCTGTTCTTAGAAACAGTTTTTTTCTAAAAGGAATTGACATGTATAGGAATCTTGCTATGAATGACAGATGAATTTCAGTGCTTTTAACTTTGCCAGATTTATTGCTCAGTAGTATAGCACCTGAATACCGTTTTGCTCTTGTCACTCTATCTCCAGTAGGATATAGAAGAAACAGACAAACTCTAGACATGGAAGATAAAAATGACTGGAGACAAAGACATTTAAAGGAGATGAACAAAGAAGATTCTCAAGAGAAACGTATAAAATACTGACTGGCACAGAGAAGCGAGATCAGATACCGCTGCTCATTTCTCCCTTAACATAAGAACAAGAGTTCAGCCAATGAAATCCAAAGGCAGCAAATTTAAAACCGGAAAAAAGAAACATTTTTACACAACTATCAGGGAAACTCACTGCCAC